TATACTAAAAGTCCATTAAACTTCTTAAAAACACTCTCAAACAGTCACGTGGTACTCTACAAACGCTCCTACGCTGCAACATGGCACTCTAATAAATTAGACAAAATCATAGAAATTCTAAGAAAAAAGAAAAATATCCAACCATCGATTTCCATTTAAATTGGTGGACCCTTTATTATCAACCGTTAATCGGATCTATTAACTAATTACTCCATGCTAAAACCGGCTAATATCTTCTCTCTCAGTACGCGCACGTATGCAAGAGATATATTGGAAAAAAGAGAAAAACGCCTGCCTACAGGCGCTAATAACCCATGTACGTACGTAGTATAAGCAGGCGCTAATAACCCATGTATACGTACGTAGTATAAGCAAGACATGTAAAAAAGGTAAACAAAAACTGTGTGCGTACGATCGGCCCACGGGATTTTCACGAGTTCCTTTTTCTTCTATCCATCTAGCTAGCTATCTATGTATCTTTCTATCTGTCTCTACTTATTATAAAAATTGAAGATATTTTTACTGGTACTTTGATACGTTATAAAATTGAAGATTTTTTATCGGTACTTTGATATATTACTCGTGTATGAGTCTCGTGTATGAGTCGGTTTTTAAGTTTGTTCGTTTTTGAAAATACAGATTTGTATTTGAGTCGGGTTTTAAATTTGTTTGCTTTTGGAAACAAAGGAGTCGTATAAGAAATCCCTTTAAGAAAACTCGGATGCTAACTTGAGATAATTAATCGGACTCCTAATTATAGCTCATGATTTTCTGGAAATATATATATACAAGCTAATTCTCACAGTGAATTTCACTTTAAGTAAACCGTATAATAATAATAATAATGATAAGATTAATATAACATTCACCCGTTGTAACGCACGGACATTTTTCTAGTTGAAGGAAAAAAGCATAGGGAGGTAGATCGATATCGCGGTGGCGCTAGGATTTGGCTAGGGTAGTGGCCGGAGGGGCATTGTGCGTGTGCAGCACATTGGATCGAACTGAGATCGGTAAAAAAAAAAGGCAACGAACAAACCAAATCGACAAAAAAAGGAAAGCCCGAAAAAAAAAAAAACCCTTGGACATGAAAAAAAAACCTAATTAAAACGTGACCATCCTACGGCGGCAAGCCGCCGCCGCAAGAGAACAATCGCCTGGAATGAATCTTGCCGAAGGCTTCAACACCCCCCTTATGGCAATGTTGTCGTCGTTGCCTCGACCAAGTTGCCCATGAATAGCTCGCCTCGACCGAGTCGACCTCCCGCAGCTGTCGGCGCCACCCGCGCCGGCCTCACCCTGCCGGCTGCACCTTCCTCCCGCTGCCACCGGTGCCAGCCTCTTACTGCCGCCATCACCAGCCTCCCACAACCACCGGTGGGCACAGCCGGCGGCCGCCGTCCTCACGCCCGGCTCCCACCTCCATCGCCGTCCTCCCAACTCTCTCCTCTATCACCGGCGTCCTATATCTGCCGCCATCCCCCGCTGACGATGGCACGCATCGGACTCCTTCCTCCGTCGTCGGCCTCCCGCCACGGCTACCGTCTCCGCACCGGCGAGGGCGCGCCGGTTCCTACCTCTCCTTGACAAACCACGGCTTCGTCGCTTCCGGCTGGGAGGGCGGCGGATCTAGCCAATGGGCAACGAAACCGGCCATCCCCATCGCCAGACCGAGGGCCGCTGTCCCCCGCGACTCCCGCCGGTAGGAGCACCAGATCCGGCCAAGGGAGGGCCGGATCCATGCTCGGCAGCGCTGGAACTGGACATTGTCGCCGGTGCCTCGCTCCTGTCGGCGCCCCAACCGCCTTGATCACGAGCGAGGGAGAGGGAAAGCCCCGTCGTCGCCTTCCTTGCCTCCACCCGGCTTTGCTGGCAGCTGCTCTAGCGGCGGCGAGGCGGGAGAGAGCAGGGGAAGGGAGGGGGCGGTGCGGCTTCATACGCCGATTTTTTACAATAAGCCACTAGATATGCGCGCCTTTGCAAACTTACCACCCAATCCGCATGCCTTCTCTAATGCACCACTAGGAGTGATAATTCTTTGATTTCATACCACTTTCTCTCCTTCCCGTCATTTTTTCATTTTCATTTTCATTTTCTGTTTTCCTTTCTTTTTTTGGACTGTTTTACCCCTGGCCCCACCTGTGAGGTAAAAGAGATAGAGGGATCGAGAGAAGGGGATCGGGAAGGGGACGCAGAGCGCGTGCACTCCCGTCCTGTTGTCGTGCCGTCTCCAGTCCCGTCGCCGCGCCGCCTCCTCGCCGGGCGCCGCCACCAGCCTCCCCATCACCCTGCCACCCGCCACCGCCAGCTAGCCTCCTTGCCCCGCCGCCGGCCAGCCTCCGGACCCTAGGGTTTGAAGATAGAGAGGGGGAAGGGGGTCACGGTTCAAGAGATCATGGCGCAAGCGGCAAGCTCCTCGATTCCAAGTGAACTCCCTTCTAGGTAATGCTATAACTCTCCACATCTCCATTATTTGCACTAACGGGCTAAGGAGCAAAACTAGGACATATTTGGTTAGCAGGTGAACTAATGATTTTTTACTCTCGTTTTTCTTGTTCGTATGTGATAGGACCAACCATGATGTGGAGTTTAGCGTGTGTGTTCAGTTCGGTCAGTTTATAGCTAAACTTGATGATGGTACTTGTGTTGAAGTGGCGCGTAAATGGCTTGAATAGGTTGTGGATTATCATCAGTGCACATTGGAGAGCTTGGAAAAGGATCTTGCAGCAAGGGTAAAATGGGGCAGCAGCCAACATGTTGTGATAAGTGGCTACGACATGAGCACTGGTGAGGAAACACTGTTTAAGGATAATATGGATGTAGCCCATGCATTGTTTGTTAGGAAGAGTGATAGAAAGTTGATTTTGTTTGTTAATGTGGAGGACAAGATCTCAGAAAAGATAAAATGTGACTTCATCACCAACAATCTAGCAGAGTCATGGAACAAATGGGTCAAGGATATGAAGGATCGTCCTATTGCAGATCTTGCAGAAGGCATCAGAGCAAAGACAATGGATCTATTTGCGAGACGGAGGAAGATAGGTGAGAAACTAGATGGTGTGATGCTCCCTATTGTAGTTCGTCAACTGAATGCAATGACTAGAGATTTGGGTCACTTGAAGGTAGTGCAAGGTAATAGGGACCAAGCAGAAATGGCGGAGATTACTCCTGAACATGATATTAGTAGGCATGCTGTCAATCTTACAGAACATACATGCACTTGTAGAGAGTGGCAAGTTTCTGGCAAATCATGCCCACATGCATTAGCTCTCATAATATCAGCTAGAAACCCAAGAATGGCTGATTACCTGGATCCTTGTTATTCAGTGGAAAAGTATAAGCTGGCATATGCAGGAGTTATTCATCCACTTCCAGATAAGTCCCAATGGCCAAAAGTAAATATTGGTTTCAAGTTGCTGCCACCTCTCACTATGAGGGACGTAGGGAGGCAAAGAAAGAATAGGATAGTTGGGTGCCTTGAGAAAGGAAGCAAACCTAGGACCAAAGGAAGGTGGCAGATTCAATGTAAGAGGTGTCTTAACATGGGCCATAGGCAAACATCCTCAAAATGTCCTTTAAATGGTACCAAGAAAAAAAGGTAGCCACATACATTTACTTCTAGCATATTGTACATTAATCTTTATAGATCATTTAACTTGTTTTACATTTTTTAGGAAAAATCGTGCCAAACAAGGAAGACCACTAGGTTCAACTAGTGATGCAGCGGGTTCTAGCACACCCAAAAGACAAAAGGTTGCAATCAATGATTCCAGCAATATGAGTCCTGGGCTTGTCACTAGAAGGTATGATTTTTCTTTAGTTCAATGGTATGATTGATTCTCAAAATTTTACTAACACTCAGTTCATTGAAGGCAATTGGCATTGACTAATGTTGTTGGAGAAGGATCGAGTCAAATGGCAACCCCTCCGAGGCCCTACTAGAGCTGCAAGGAAGATCACTCCAAAGAAAGGGAAAAAATGAATGCTTTTCTAAATATAATATTTAGTGTTCTGGATGCTTTTGTAATGTGAAACATGGGACAAAGCTGGTTGATTTCATTTTGTTCTCTCAACTTGCCAAATGGTTATGTAATCTGGATGATGTTCTCAAGTTTGCTATTGAACTTGTTTGTTCTGAAATGATTTTATATGCATTATGGGTACATGCTGCCATTTTTTTTATCTGTGACCAAATTATGGGTACTTTCTTGACTTGTGTCAAATGCTATACAAATTGCAAGGTACATGCTGCCAAAATTTAGGGTACATTCTGTCAAAATTTTGCTTACAAGCTGTCAAAATTTTGGCATCCGGAGCAACCGTTTATGTATACACATATATACTATACATGCAGCAATATATGCAACAGTTATATGCCACTATCCTGCTCAGAGAAGAGGAACAGCAGGGCAGCAGGCGTACTCCTGATGCCATTTTGTTCTCTCTGGCGAGAAGAGGCAAGGGCAGGGCAACCGGCGCACAGCAGCAGATAAAACCCCATCTCCCTCTCTCTTTTACCTGACAGGTGGAGCCAGGGGTAAAACAGTCCAAAGAAAAGGGAAAAACAGAAAACGAAAAAAAAAAGAAAAAATGACGGGAATGAGAGAAAGTGGTATGAAATCAAAAAATTAGCACTCCTAGTGATGTATTAGAGAAGACATGCGGATTGCAATGGCGCGCGTATTTAGTGGTTTATTATCAAAAATCTCTCCCTGGGACGGAGCGACCGGGGGCACGAGAGGAAAAGATATCTAAGAATTGTTTAGTATTGCAAGTTGCATCTCATCCCAGCTCGCGAAGAACAAAATAGAAGAAAACAACTCAGAAAGAAGATTTTTCCTACTTGATTGAGAAGGCAGAACCATACTATAGCACGTGTTTGACCAATTAAATAATTAATTATATAGTTGTGTTTGACCAATTAATTATAACAAGTTCAATATAAAGATAACCAAGTAGGGTGTGGAAGCTACTATATTTAGAGAAATAAGAGACGAAGATGTCCATTGCATATACATTTCATCAGCACTGAAACTGTAGCATATCGAACCCAACTATGGACTGCTACTACAAGCTCCCAGTTGAAAAACTAGCAATGCGTCTGCTGCTGTTCATAGGCCTCGTGATCTCCCTACAGTTCATGGCAGACGGCGCATCATTGCCGGACGATAGGTGCCTAAAGAAGTGTGGTGATGTTGACATTCTATACCCATTTGGGATTGGCGAAGGCTGTGCCATTGAAGGCTTTGTGCTTAGCTGCAGCAAGACAGAGGATGGACGTGGGGATGTGGCATTATATGGCACCACGCCGGTGCTGAATATATCGCTGCGCTATGGTCAGGTTCGGATGAAATCAACGTACATATCCTCGATGTGCTACAACCTCTCAACCAAGAATATGGACTACAAGAACTGGCTCCTGAACCTCACAACCTCTCCGTTCACCATCTCGCAGAAGGAGAACATATTCATAGTCATCGGTGCCAACACGGCCGCAAACATGTTTGGTTACAGCCGCTACTCTACCGTGAGTTGATCTCTCTTGTAAATTCACCATATATATTCTGCTGCTGCCAGTTTTAAAATTTAATCTTCGATACGCTGGAGTAAAACTGTAAAAGAGTCGTTTTTGTGGTAATATATATCATCCATAAACTCAACCGGGATTTGGATGCAGATGCTAAATATGATCGGGTGCTTGTCTCAGTGCTCACCGTATAATAGCTTCACAGCTCAAGATGGGTCGTGTGTCGGCATCGGCTGCTGCCAGGCCGTACTCAGCAACAACATTTCCTACCACGAAGTGCAATTCAACCCCTTATACAACACCACAACGTCTTACAACAACAGAAGCATCACGGACAGGGCAAGCTACTGTGGCTACGCTGTGGTGATGGAGGCTGCTGCATTCAGGTTCCGAACAGCATACCTGAACTCAACGGCCTTTTGGGACGAGCACAATGGCAGTGTCCCGGTGGTCTTGAACTGGGTTGTGGGTAATGAGACATGTCAGGTTGCCAAGCAAATGGGAGATAGATACGCATGCCGTAGCAAAAACAGCATGTGCATCGATTCATCCAGTGGCCCTACAGGTTACCTCTGCAACTGCACTGAAGGCTACCGTGGCAATCCGTACCTTCCCGATGGATGCCAAGGTCTGTATTGCCAATTTACCTTGATTGAATTTTGTTGATATATAAGTACATATATACTACTCCCTCCGTTTCAGGTTATAAGACATTTTGACTTTCGTTAAAGTCAAATTACTTTAAGTTTGACTAATTTTATAGAAAAAAGTAGTAATATTTTTAACCTAAGACTAATATATTATAAAAAATTATTCAATTATAGATTTAATGAAACTATGCTGGTGTTGTAAATATTCATATTTTTTTTCTATTGAGTTAGTTAAATTTAAAGTAGTTTAACTTTGACCAAAGTTAAAATGTCTTATAACCTAAAACGGAGGGAATACTTTTTACTGTGTCTGTAGATATTGATCCCATGATGATTCAATCTTTGTAGAGCCAAACACTAAGTATCATGCTACTTTTACTGTGTCTGTAGATATTAATGAATGTGATGTTAACAATCCACCTCCATGCCCTGGCCGTTGCAAGAACATACCTGGCAGTTTTACTTGTTCAAGCCCCTCACAATCCAGAACGGTGATACTAGCTGTTAGTAAGTTGTCGTTCCCTAATCTTATAGATTTTTTGGCACACAACTGAGTTTGCAATAACAAAAAATTGATAAATTAATATGCAGGCCTAAGTGTTGGAATTGTTGCCATGGCAATGATCGTCACCTGCTCATACTTGGTCCGTGAACGGAAGAAACTGGCCAATATCAAGAAGAAGTATTTCCAACAGCACGGTGGCATGCTTCTGCTGCAGGAGATAGGCTTAAAGCAAGGGCAGAGCACTGCCTTCACAATCTTCACTGAAGCAGAACTCATAGAAGCGACGAACAAGTTCGAGGACAAGAACGTCCTTGGCCGCGGTGGCCATGGCACTGTCTACAGGGGCATGCTCAAGGACAGCCGTCTGATTGCCATCAAACGATGCATGTCGATGATTGACGACAGGCAAAAGAAGGAGTTTGGCAAGGAGATGCTCATCCTGTCCCAGATCAACCACAAGAACATCGTCAAGCTCCTGGGCTGCTGCCTCGAAGTGGAGGTCCCAATGCTAGTCTATGAGTTTATCCCCAATGGGACCTTGTTTCACTTCATTCATGGCGGCAATGACTGCCGCAACATCCCCTTTTCTACTCGAGTGCGAATTGCCCATGAATCAGCCCAAGCACTAGATTACCTTCATTCATCAGCATCGCCTCCAATCATTCACGGTGATGTCAAGACCTCCAACATACTACTGGACGAGAACTATACCGCAAAGATATCGGACTTTGGAGCCTCAATACTAGTGCCGACTGATGAGGCCCAGTTTGTCACCTTGGTGCAAGGAACCTGTGGGTACCTAGATCCCGAGTACATGCAGACGTGCCAATTGACAGATAAGAGCGATGTGTACAGCTTTGGCGTCGTTCTACTGGAGCTGCTCACCGGCAAAATGGCCTTCAACCTTGAAGGTCCTGAAAATGAGAAGAGCCTTTCATTGAGCTTCTTGTGTGCCATGAAGGAGGGAAGACTCATGGACATTATAGATCATCACATTCAGACTGATGAGAATGCTGGGGTGCTCGAGGAGGTTGCTGACCTCGCGAGCCAGTGCCTGGAGATGATCGGCGATAACCGACCGTCGATGAGAGATGTCGCCGACAAGCTTGGCCGGCTGAGGAAGGTCATGCAGCACCCATGGGCGCAGCATGACCCGGAGGAGATGGAGAGCTTACTCGGGGAGTCGTCGGTGGCTGGTTTGGAGATGGTTAGCACCGGGAATTTCAGCATGGAGGGTGGAGCTGTGCAAGGCATTCTGGAGTCTGGGCGTTGATCATCATAGTGATCATCTTGTGTATACATAAAGCTCTGCTATTTGCAACCATTGCTTCGGCAGGAAAGGTGGCTAAAAATGTTTCGGGATTTTTTTGTTCTTTTTGAGAACTTATTTTACAAATGCATCCCTGAAAAAAGTTATTCCATTAATGGACTTTTTTTTTTTTTTGGAGAAAGGCTGACGCCCAGCTTTCATTAAAAAGCATAAGAGTTCATACATCGAACGACAAAGGAAAAGGGAAAAAGATGATACTGGGGATTCCAGCTAGACAAAACAAGAACTGGAGCACGCAGGCTCACACAAAGTGGCTGCTGGCACAACCAAAACAAGCCAGTTTCTTTCAGCTAGTAACATTGTCCTACTAAATGAGACTCCATAGCAAAATCAGACAAGGAACTCCCTGGCATTAGATCAAGTATTTGATCCTCCGATCTTTCGGATACTGGCAAGGAGCAAGCCCCTTAATGTATCCAAAGCACTCCTCTTCTTCACGGGTGCTAAGCTTCTCCACTGTAGATGTAAAGACACAATTTTGTGAGGTAAATGTGACGCATCAACAATCATCTTATTATTAAACACCCAGTCATTACGCAAAAGCCAAATGGACCAAGCGGCAGCAGCAAACAAAGATAGCAAAACAGGAATTGAATCACCGCTCTGACCACTCAGTTTATTCAAAAGTTCTGCTCTAGATTTGGGGATACCATCCCAACCAAATGCATCTCTGAAACAACACCACGTAAACTGAGATAGCGCACATTGAAACATCAAGTGATCTGTATCCTCGATTTCTCCACAGAGTTTACAGTTGGGACTCCCCTTCCATTTCATCTTCTTTAACTGATGACCTGTTTGAATTTTTCCTTTTAGCATAAGCCAGAAAAACACTTTAACTTTGAGGGGAATATGACACCTCCACAGCTCTTGTAAGATGTAGTCTTTAATCCCCCCAAAACTTATTTCTCGATACAGGGATTTTGTAGAAAACATCCCAGTTTTGTTTAAATTCCAACACATGGAATCTTTTCCTGAATTCAATTCGATGTTCTGCAATAAAGCATGTAATTGACCCCACTCTTCTAACTCCCCTTCACCTAAAGTTCTTCTCAAAGAGATTTTCCACTCCCCTTCAACATACATCTGGTGAGTAGTTTTGTTATCATCAGCACATACACTGAATATATATGGAAATTGAGTCTTAAGTGGTGTTTCCCCTAACCAAATATCATCCCAGAAGGATATATTTTTCCCATCTCCAAGCTTGTATGAGCTACCAAGTTTCATCCAGCCTTTTACCTCATGTAACCCTCTCCAGAACTGTGATCCCCCCTCAACTTTGGATTGGAAAAAACCCCCTCCTTCTACCATATATTTCCTTCTCAGTAGATCACAACAAGGATTCTCTACCCCAGTTTCAAGTTTGAAAATCCACTTGCAAAGTAGAGCCGCATTCATTATCCTTGTGTTAACAAAACCCAAACCCCCAAAATCCTTTGGTCTGCACAGGGCTTCCCATTTGATCATGTGATATTTTTTCTTTCCCTCTAAACCTTCCCAAAAAAATCTTGCTCTGAAAGAATCCATTTTCTGATGAACCCCCTCAGGCAGTAAATAAATGCCCATCATATACATAGGTATACTACTCAAGCAGGAATTAATCAAGATTGACCTCCCCCCATAGGACAAATGGCTACATTTCCAGGTAGCAAGTCTCTTCTCAATTTTGGCAGCAGGAATATTTAGGTTTGTAGCTGACAGTTTATCCACACTCACTGGAATGCCAAGGTAAGAGAAAGGTAGTTTCCCTGACTTGCAGTTAAACAGATTGGCCACTCTCAATGTATCAGATTCATCACCCCCAATCACTATCACCTCACTTTTTTGATAATTGATTTTCAAGCCCGACATCTCTTCATAGCAATATAGTAGGAACTTAATAGTAGCTATATTTTCTTCAGTATTGGCCAAGAAAAGAATCGTATCATCTGCATATTGTAAATGTGTCAAACCCCCTGGAACTAATTGAGGGACCAATCCCTCTAAATGACCTGCTTCTTTGGCTCTATTTAGCATCTCTGATAATGCATCAGCTACTAAATTGAACAATAAAGGGGAAAGGGGATCCCCCTGTCTGACTCCTCTATAGGTTTTGAAAAAATCTTTCACCTCTCCATTGATATTAATTGCAACCCTCCCCTCCACGGTAGCCATCTTAATCCACTGAACCCACTTTTCATTAAATCCTTTCCTCTGCAGAACTTCAAACAAAAAACTCCATTGTACTCTGTCATACGCCTTCTCAAAGTCAAGTTTAAAGATGATACCAGAATGGTGACCCTTCTTTAGAGTATGCAGAACTTCGTGTAAAATAACGACACCATCCAGGATATGTCGACCGGGTATAAAAGCAGTCTGACTTTGCCCTATCACTTTGGCAGCTACTTCTGTCAACCTCTTAGTCAGGATTTTTGTTAGAAACTTAAAGCATACATTCAAGAGGCAGATAGGTCTAAAGGCTTTTATGTTATTAGCATCCTTAATCTTGGGAATGAGAGTGATCACTCCATAATTCAAACGCCACAGATCTAATTTACCCTCAAACAAAAGGTCAGTCATTTCTTTCAACTGGTTTTTCAGTTGTGGCCAGAACTCTTTGTAAAAGCTTACAGGTAGACCATCAGGACCCGGTGCAGTATTTGTCTTCATTTCCTTCAAAGCCTGCTCAATCTCTACCATTGTAAAAGGTCTAGTAATATGTTCACTCTCTTCTTTAGTAAGTCTCCCCTCATTAGTCCACATATCATTGGACAGAAAAATTTTTGGAGGTACTTCAGCTCCAAACAAATTTTTGTAATATTGATAGATATGTTGTTTCAATTCAGCTGGATCCTCAATTTGTCTCCCCTCATCTTCCAATGACAGAATAGTACTCTTCCTCTTTCTGCCATTAGCTATGCCATGAAAGAAAGCAGTGTTGGCATCACCTTCTAGAAGCCATTTCTCACCACTTCTTCCTTGCCAGTAGATTTCTTCCTCTAAATAGATCTTACTCAATTCATCTTCTAATTGATATCTTTGAGCCCACTCATCTGAATTCAGTTGTCTCATATCAGCTTCAGTATCAATTTTCTGTATCTGACTCAAAAGCTTCTCTTTTGTTCTCCTTAGATTGCTTATGTTATTCATGCTCCATCCTCTCATTTTCCTCCTTAGAACAGTCCCCTGACACTTCCAATGATCCAAAATCTTGTCTTTTCTTCTTTCAGGCCCGTGTTTGATTACCCATTCCTTAAAGCCATCCTGGGTCAACCAAGCTCGGTCAAACCTAAAAACCCTCTGTGTTTGTATATGTCCTTGTCTCTCCAATAAGACCATGATTGGGTTATGATCTGAGCCCACTCTAGTTAAAGTTTTAACCACAGCATATGGGAACAAAGAATCCCAATTAGGAGACACCAGGACCCTATCTAAGACCTCACAGATGGGATTCACCTGTTTATTTGTCCACGTAAACTTGCATCCCACTCTATGTAACTCTCTCAACTCTGCATCTGCAATGAACTTATTGAATTTTTCCATCCATCTCCTGTTAACATGACCATTAGATTTTTCCTCAGCATGTCTAATCAAGTTAAAGTCACCCCCAACCATAACAGGAATGGACTGGGAAGATACTTTGTCCAAAATCTCCTTCAGGAAGTCCTCCTTTCTCTCAAACTGATGGACTTTTTTTTTCACCTACGTCATTGACGCCGATAGCCTATTTATAAAAAAAACAGAAAAAGACTAAAATATAAATATTTTTTTTTCTTAAAAATAGATCATCTGTGCTAATTTTCCTTTACAATTTAAATTAAACAAAATTATTATTAACCCATTATTACCATCATTTTCTGCATGCATCATTTCTTAATTTCTATATGTATATATTTGTTATAAACATGTGATCCTCTAGGCTCTCACACTGTTCTTTTTTTTTAATAAAATGTAGAAAGTTTGTAGTGGAGATCATTGACATCTGAACCCTTGCTCCTACTTGTTTTTATTTTTCAAATAGTAGGGAACTGGTGATGGAGTGGTGGCAGATTCACAACTCACCATCACCACTACTCTCTTTTATAATAGTAAAGTTGGTGGTGGGAGCGGTGGCAAATTTACCACTCACCACTACCACTTTTTATAAGAGTAGCGATCCTATACATATTTGTGGGCCTACTCCAGCCCCTGTTTGGAGCCTCATTTTGCTACACCAAGCTAATGATGAACTTTTTTGGGAGATTGAATTGTAAGTTTGTGACACCCTTGTTGCTTACTAGATTGTATTGTAGCTCCCACATATTGTATTGTACTCTATTTTTTTTAAGTAATAAACCCTTAATATATGTAGGGCTTGTGTTTAGCGGGGCTTTAGCTACAGCTCCACCTTTTTTGGAGCTGGATCACAACCAAATGGTTTTAACTCCACCTAAAAAGGAAGCGGAGCAGCTGAAGTGATTAAAAAATAAACTAGAGCAGTGGAGCGGGGTTCGGGCAAAGTTCAGACTCCATTCCTAGAGTTGGGATTTAGGAGTTGTAGACCTGCCAAAAAGGTCCATATAATCTATGTGATTAGTAGTAAAAAAACTATCATAAGTACATATAGGTTATCTATACTGTCATTGTATTTTGCTGTCCACTGGAAAATTGTTGGACCGAACACCTTACTCTATGGCCCAGGAAAAGGAAAAAATTACTTACGTTGGAATATTATAAAACCAATGTTCATTACTGGCCCTTTTTATAATCGAGTGCTTATTGATGGCAATGGAGCTAACCCCTGAGGTCAAATATGTTTTTTTGTTTTGTTTTATTCCTTAGTAAGACATTCTCGAATAGTGTTTTGTTTTTAATTCGCAGACACATTTGTGCGAGATAATTTAGAAACAGTTCCAAATCATTTTTCATAGACTGCCCTTTTAGGGAGAGGACTATGACACGAACGCCCAATTTTATTCAAATCATTGAACGGCAAATAAATGTTTCACATGTTTGAGCAATCGATGAAAAATGTTTCAATAAAAACTGTTTCCTGTCTTCCTGATGTTTCATTACTCAGTCAATAAATGTTTTATCACTTAATCCAAAGATGTTCCAATCATATATACAACATCCGAAAATGCTGACTGCAATAGACAAAATCTATAAGTGCAACATCCGAAGAAAACCGACTGCAATATAAAAAACAAATGGTGCAACATTCAAAAGAGAGAAATTGCAACATCCAATTCATTGTCTACATTCATGGTTTGCAACATCTTTGCTAGCTCTTCACCAGCCTCACTTTCACCTGTGCTGGCTCCTACCTATCCACCACCTCAAACAGCAGTGAGCAACACCAAGAAGGAGACGGTGACTGCAGGAAACCCTAACCTGAAGCAATCTCCCAATCTTCGTCCCCCTCTCCAGTCTCCATGGCGGCCCTCCCCTAGATCCGATACTCTAAAGTTGTGGGTGGCTAGATCTGCTCGGAGGAGATCCCGTGAAGATTAGGGAGAAGAGGTACGAGAGGAGAGGGAACGATTAGAGAGGAGAACAATGAGGGAAATGCCCTAGATGGCGGTGACAGGGATAGAATAAAGAGAACTGAGCGAGAGGGGAAGGAAGCGGGCAAGATGGGTGCGGCTACAAGCATAAGATGGATTCTGTCACATCGGATGGTCGATCTGAAGCCCCCCCCCCAACACACACCCCCCCCCCGGCCCCTAGTGGTGTCTGTACAAAGAAATCTTCTTTTACACATATTTATCACATTTGTGGCTTTGTGGGTGTGGTCTTCCCTTGTGCTGTTGATGGTATCTATAGATTTGAAATGAGGTTTCGCCCACAATAAGATCCAATCATAGTGTTTCATGTACATCGAAGCAACTTATTTGTAGTAGTAAGTAGTAACTCATGTGCATAGCTTCTCAAAATTTAGGATCATTAAAAATAGGCTTTCGTGCATTTAAGCACAATACATCACAGTAGTCTTTTATTTATATATAATCATATATAAACCACATACATATGTAGCGAATGTAGCACAACACATAAATGTATACAGCACTGAGAGAAACATAACGGGGCACTAGTGAGGTAAACTTTTGGGCCTAGGCCACATACACATGCACACTATATATGTATAGGTATATAGAGTGATTGAAAGAAATGTCACCCTTAGGACTTAGGTCTTGTGCGATTCATCCCCAAGAGAGAGATTGGAGGGGAGGTGTAGAATTAATCTCCTACAAATCTCCTTCAACCTCTTGTGTGAGGGATTATACAAACAAGACTTTAGGGGTGAATTTATCATGAGCACTGATCCAACATATATCCAATTGGATATATTCATATGTAGATGACATATATCATATGTGGACATAAACTCCGATAGAGTCCACAAGTGCGCCCGAGCGACCAAAGAAACCAACCACACTGCCGCTCTGCAGCGGGAGGCTAAAAGCAGTTCCACCACCTTGTCCAAAATTATAAGTGGTGACATTGGTGACAATTTGAAGGTTTGTCACGACGTTGGTAAATGTTCCGGAGATTCCCTTCACGAATTCCTGAGATCCAAGTGTAATCTATATGCAAGGATGTGCGAAATATCATCATTAATTGATTTAATTCCACCAGTGAATGAACTTGAATAATACTCCTTTATTTTCTTTATATATGATGCTAGTTAGTTTTAACACTAAGCAATGTCATATATAAAAAGAAAGATAGGAACATGTAATAACGGCAGCAATCATAATATTCACGAAGAATATTAATGGGCAGCAATCATAATATTCAGTTTTACCTGTGCTAGCTAGCTAACTACTGGCACTACGTGTTGTTTAAGGTCAATATATATGACATGCATCTACACGTATACTCCCTCCAATTTTATAATTCTTAATATTTTGAACAAAGTTGAGTCAAACTTTTATAACTTTAATTATCAATGACATTAAAAATATTTAGTTTAATTTGAAGTCGCTTGAACAACATATATAGAAACTAGTCCTAAAAATTACTATAAACAAAAGTAAATAATTTATTTATTATATATATTATAACAGAAAATTATAGTTAAAAATATTTTTTGGAGACCATATCGTTGTTTAAAACGTCAAGAATTATATAACTAGGAGAGTAGCTAGCTACGGGGTTTACATTTTTTTCTCAACAATGTAAATTAACTGCTACCTTCGTCCCTGAAAGACTATTTTTAAGTATAAATCCAAATTCACGATTGAAAACAGAGCCTTTTGTGAAACTAAAAACACAATATTTTATATGTACCGTAGTTGGATTTCCACCACCACCACCCCAAGGACCTGCAAGATGTTCATTCCCGTCCGTGCCAACGTATGTAAAGGCAATAGCATCAATGGCTGCTCCACTACGGATCGTCACGTTCTTCAGGCTATTTGGGGGTACAGATATGTCTACAGAACCTCCTCCATTTCCACCCCATGGACCAATCTTAACAAGCTTTGTGCTCTGCAAACAAACACATCACATATCAAACATAAAATTAATTGAATTATATCATATATATAATACTACAGCGAACATTTTTGCAGGCAAATCATAACGGATGCAATTAAAACATGGGCATGCGTTTCGGAAAAAAAAAGTGTATTGAAGCAAACGAGATGAGGACTACTTAATAATTAACTAACCATTTTAATTTGTAGCCTTAATTTCTGCCCTATATATCTGTGATTACTTGTAGGGAGCTATAGTTCTTTGCGTGGATAGGCCAGCCAGGGAATGCCGATCCTATTTATAGTGCTGGATTTGTTTAACAAAGCAAAATTTGTTTATCAACTTGGTTTGTAAATTCTACTATAAGCAACGTTTTCTTTTATAAGCAACTTGCTTTGTTTGCTTCATGATGGGTGAGGAAATGTTCATCCTAAGAAAATGTTGCTTTATAAGATTAAATTCTTTCTTAGAAGCAAAATTTGCTCACCCGTTATTAGAAGCAAACATTTGTCTCGCCCACGACTTTTTTAGTGTTGTGATACAATATAATGTGACCTTACTTGTCGTCCTCTGTGGCTAGCTTAATTTGTTCATAAAAGCTGCAACACGTCCATATATTATACAAAGATTCTGCTACATTTTGGACTAATGTCTGCTCTTGAATATGTTTGATGAGATTATTCACAAGAGCGTGTCACACTCTATCAAGTTGTCTTTTTTATATAGGTATGAAATTGTCATTTGTGAAATATCCCATTGGTCCTCCCACCAACAATTGTAAAATTGAAAAAAAAAACTAAATGTACTCTCATCCACTATGCGTACCTAAACAATAGAAAAACAAAATTAGAGTTCATGTAAAATGCCAAAGTTTTCCTGATAATTAACAAGTTTCCAACCCTCATTTATTTTCGAATAAATTTAACTTTGGGTCACCTTTTATTGCCGGTGTTTCATTTTGGACCACTATTCAACTAATGTTTCACTTTGGACTAGATAATTTTACCTTATGATACTTTGGACCAACCTCAACTTTTTTATCCATCTACATCCAATTTATCATAAGTCAAAAAAAAGGTCTACTTATAGCTGAGTAAGTTTACTGACGAATAGGAGCCATCATACTCGAGGTTGTTCATATGCTTGATGAGTGAGTTGGGGGTGGTCCAAAGTGAAACAAAGGCAAAATTACCAGCCCAAAGTAAAAAAAAAAATAAGAGGTGAACTAAAGTGAAACATTAATAATAAAAGATGGTCAAAAATGAAATTTACTCATAGTTTTTCCTTGGATAAAAGCATCTCCAACCGAATGATCAAATTAAACTCTCCAAATACTTATATAGCCGGTTCTCCAACTGATTTAAAGAGTCAAACTCGTTACTTACTCCAATAGTCTATTCATCTACACTATTTTAAGTCTATGACAATGAGACCCACATGTCAGCCTCTTCTTTTTCCTCCTCCTCCTTCTCTTCTTCATCTTTCTCCAGCATCCATCGCCGAGCTCCTCTTGAGCAACGGCGATGGCGGAACCGTGCGCACGCGAGGCGACGATGAGAGGGGAGAAGCCGGCAGCGGCAATCCGTGCACACACGAGTCGACGACGATGGTGTGTGGCATCTTGGCCCAATTAGGATATGGTTTGTGTGGCCCATGAGAGTTTTGTGCATACCTCCTTGTTAGTTTAGCAAGAGTGGAACCAACTTATAAGGGTTTATCCTTTCAACCATGTCACTCCCGAATTAACTCTTTTACACAAAGCGAGGACGAAAGTGTAAGTGGAGTGATATGTGTAAGTGGAGAGCTATTTAACCATTCTCTTCGAGATCTCTAAGGACGACTTGCTAGTAGCAGCTAAGATAGGAGTACTAGCAAATAAAACGACAAAAAAAGGGCTTAGGCCAATAGCCCAGCCCATGGCTCGTGGCGTGTCCGATAAACGAGACCATGAAGAACGTCGCGGGCACCGTCACGGCTGCCGGCCACTGGCGCCATGCCGCCATCCAGCATCCATATCTTTCCTCTCTAGAAATAAAGCCATAGAGTTATTCTAGTGTACCGTGTTGTGATTGGGCAGGCGCGATTAAGCTTCATGGACCAACACGGTTTGGATTGGGAAGCGAACCATCCAATTTTGATTGGTTCTTCTAGCCCACTCACTGTAATGGGATGGGTATTTGGCCTTGGAATAAGTTCACTTTGGGTCCCTCTATTTGTCGCTCAGTCCGATTTTCGTCCCTTGGTCGCAAAACCGGTTACGACGGGTCCCCCAACTTTCGAAACCGTTTAAATGAGGTCCCTCGGCAGTATTGCATCTAGTTTTTGCTAAGGTGGCACCTACGTGGCTTCTTTTGACTAGTTCTTTGTTCAACGTGTCAATGACGTGGCAATTAGATCCGCAAAAAATAATAGTACACGTGGGACCCACATGTTAGTCGCACACAACTAATAAAAAATGGTGGGCCCATGAGGACCCACACGTCATCCTCTCTATCCCTCTTCTATCGCTCTCTTGCCGGCGGAACGGGATGGGTGGCGGCCGGAGCGGGCGATGGCGGGGCGGAGCGGCGGCGGAGGCAGAGCGGGGCGGAGCCGAGGGGCGAAGCGGGGTGGAGCGGGGGCGAGCGGATGTCGTCGAGCCGTCGCCATCTCGCCGCGGCGGACGCCGTGAACGATGACGTGCTCGCGCGGGTGGTCTTCAACTCGGGGGTGTCCGACCCGGGGAAGGGAGGAGGGGGGGGGGCTCCTGGCGCCGTGGTTGGAGGACGCCGACCGCACCCAACGACGACGAGCGTGCGGAGAAGGATTAGGCGGCGGAGGCTGTGGTTTTCATCAACGGGGAGGACGACGAGGCGACGATCTGTCCGGGTTCAGGGGCCTGGTTCTTGATCTCTCTTATAGGTGACCTCAACGACCTCAACTTGATCCGACGATATCATCCAAAGTTGCAAACTATTTTGTTTATGATAGACCAAAATTTGCAGTGATCGTGTTAGAAAGAGATGAAAACAATTTGAAGGAATTTTGCATTTTTACCTCGAAATATAACCAGGCCTGTGAACGTTGTCTGCTGGAAGCGCGCAATTTGTTTGGAATTCATGGCGAAGGTTAGATTCTCTGCTTCCAAAATCATTTTTAACTTCACCATCAGTTATTCAAAGTTCATTATTTGATCCAAAAACATGCAACAGCAGCGCTCAGAGGGGCAGAGCAGACGGCGGCGATGGCGGGAGCTTGGCGCTTCGACGGCGTCGGTTCTTAACCCCGTAGCCAACAACGGCGAGGAGCACGACGGCGGTTTGGAAGACGTAGTGACGACGACGACGCCGTCACCAGCAGTAGCCTCCGCCGCCGCCCACGGCCGTGCTGCCCCGCGTCCCCCTCGAGGAGGGGACCGACCTCGCCGCTGTCGTCACGCACGAGGGCTCCGGCTACTACGTCCTCACCGTCCTCCGCCGCGCCCTCCGTCCTCGCCGGAAGCAGGAAAGGTGCCGCCAGGGTCGTCATGCGCGCCGCCCATTCTCTCCATCGGCCGCCGCTCGTCGGTCGTCCTCCCCATTGGTCGCCGCCCATCTTGGCGCCCCTTCTCCCCGCCGGTCGCCGCCCATCCCGGCCCCTTCTCCCCGTCAGTCGCCGCCCGTCGCGCATTCTCCTCGCCGACAGTCACCCATCTCTTCGCTGCCTGTCACGCCGTCCACCCCGCCGGCCGCTGCTCGTCTCGGTGCCCTGGCTGCATCTCCTCCTCCTCCGGCAGCCACCGCCGCACACTGCCCCTTCTCCCCGCTGGCCACCGCCCGTCGGCCGTCGCGCCCGAGAAAGGAGGGGAGGGAGAGAGACGGAGAGAGGGGAGATGGGGAGTGAGGAGTAAGAAGAGGGGAGTGAGATTGACATATGTGGGCCCCACCTTTTTTAATTATTGTTTTGTGTAGCTGACATGTGGGTCCCACGGGTATTTTTTTTCCAAATCGAATTGCCACGTAAGCGCCACGTCAATGCCACGTGGATGGAGACCTAGTCAAACCAGCCACGTAGGCGCCACGTCAGCCAAAACCGCTACCCAAACCGCCTTAGGACCTTATGTGTCCGGTTTTCGTAAGTTGGGGGGCGGTTCGTACCCGGTTTTGTGGTTCAAGGACGAAAATCGGACTGGACGACAAATAGAGGGACTTGAGTGAACTTATTCCTTTGGCCTTGCAAAGAAGAAATGGCCAGATAAGCTTTGGGATAGGGAATAAATCTATTTTGGTTCCCTCATCTTTTGCGGTGGGTCAAATCGCATCCCTCAACCACATCCTCGTCCCAAGCGATCGTTAACCTCCTTGGTGCTCATCATCTTCCCACAGAACATATGGCTGAGGTCGTACGAAGGGGTGTAAGTGGGTCAACCACGAACCACTTATAGATCAAAATAAGCGGATTCACGGCTTATTTTAGCCTATAAGTAAATTTTACGGGCTAGCCACGTACACCTTAGCCGTACGTGAGGCAGCAGCCTGAGGTAGGTGGCACAAATGATGTTCTTGGAGTCCCACATCTGCTGGGTTAGCTTGGGAACCGTGAGGGCGCGGTACTGCTGGGTCCCCTTAGGGTGTGTGTCACGCCCGGAATTTCTATCCAAAATTCCAAACGCTTACATGTGTGTGAACCCTCGTCCAGGAATCAGCCGAGGCACACAATAACAAATTGATAATAGAGTACAAATATTACTCTAATTAATAAGCGAATAAAATGTCATTACAGAGGTAGATAGTTCCTCTCAATCAATAAAGTTCTAAGCAGCGGAAAATAAATAAACGGCGCAGACGGCTCCACTCCACAGGCAGCTTGACCAAGGCTACACCTAATCCTCCACACCATCAGCCTCATTGTAGAACTCTTCCTCTGATGAATGATTGCAAGGTGAGTATATGACATACTCAGCAAGCCACGCAGCAAATATGCAAGTGCACAGGATAACAAAGGATGGCATAATAGGGTTTCTTTTGCAAAAGCAGCATTTAGCAAACATTTGAGAATTTGATAAAACAGTTAAGTAATTAAACAATATTAAGCCAACGCTATACAACATGCCCTATTGTATAGGCCCAACCATTCTGAACAACCACCCCGGCTGCACAGTTCTATCTCCAAACCAGGAATGTACCATTCCAAACCAGGAGCTAATCAAATTATTACCAGTTATAGCATCTTTTACTATGATGAGAGGTGTGAGACTAATCACGAAAGACATTGTTAGACCCGCCCATAACCGCGGGCACGGCTATTCGAATAGTTTTACTCTGATCAGAGGTGTACCACTGTACCCACAAGACACAACCCCACATCATGTCACCATGTGCCTCAATACCACCACGGTATCTCGGAAAGGAGTTGTGACAATACCCCTCGCATAACACAATCCACTGCAGCGCACCTTCCTGGATCATAATCACCCCCTCATAAACAAGGCATGGACTCCCCAGCGACCCCCGTGGGCTTATCTCCGCCACTTCTCAGTCTGGTGCCCCGCAATGAACCATGCTATACAAAAGATAAAGCCGTTGCCCATGCTGGCTTGTGGTTGGCACGATAAATGTTTCACAACCGAAACTCGTGAACCGGTCCTTAATTGCCATGAGCACGACCATCAAAACCATGTGCTCACAACCCACCATTACCAGGTTTTAGTTGGCACATTAATTAATTAACTAATCACGATCGACCATCGTGAACTATCAATAAGCCATCATGAAATAATAGTGAATCATTAGTTATCCCATAAGTGTACTAATGTTTCTAAGCAGGGCTAAGCAATTGTATCTAATATCTAGTTGAACCAATATAAATAAAGCTCAACTAGTCAAATTAATATAACCCAAGGTATCAAGGAATAAGGTAATCAAGTACGAAAGGGCCATAGCAATCAATAGGTTAATTCCACCCAATGACATTCGAAAATAGATGCAATAGTTGAATAGAAACAATAGCTTTAAATAGGATCAACATGCTCAAAGGGTTGTTTGGGATCTGTGTGACTTGCCTTGCTGGCCTTGGAACTCTTCAAACTCTTCTCCGGCGAAAACGGACTCTCCGGAAACGACGGAATCTAAGCAAAAAGAAGCAAAATCACCAAAACAGCACATAAACAAGCATGAACAGTACATGTGGATATTTTTAATGTGTAGATCTCAATTTTAGAAAAATTTAGAGACTTGAACCAACTAAATCGGAGCTAAGATGAATTAGTTATGAATTTTTAAAGATTAAACCGGATTAAAACACTTAAATCGGTTTAAATTGAATTATGACGCAATAATGAATTATTTTTGAAAAGGAAAAGAGGGTTTATTGCGTCAGCGGGCTAGGGTTTGGTGGACCGGGCGCACGGGCGACGGTTCACGCGAACGGACGGCCGAGATTGATCCGATCCAAATCGGACGGCCGAGATCGAACGAGTCCACGGCGGCTCACGGGAGAGGGGCTTGATGACGCCAGCGATGACGTCACCGACGGCGGCGGCAGCTCGGCAAAGAAGACGGCTCGGGCGGCGGACTCTCGCCGGCGAACGGCGGCACTAGGACGCAAACGGAGGACACCAACGGGTAGCGGACGGCACGGCGAACTCACCGGCGACCAAAGCGACGGCGGAGGACCAACGGACGGCGACAGCGACGAGGTTGAAACGGCGGCGGTCTTCGGCTTGACGACGGCGACGATGCTTCGGCGGTCTCCGACGGCAGCGAAGGGGCGGACGAGGACGGCGGCGACTTGGCGATGACGACGGCGGTCTTCCCGAGTGGCGGCGACGGCTGGAACGACGGCGGCGCACGGCTGAAGCGGCGGCGGCGACGGCGAAGCTAGGGCACACGGTGCTAGGGCTACTCCGGCGACGAGAGGCGAAGGCGAGGGTGGCGGCGGAAAGAGAAGAACACGGGGATCCTTTTAAAGGGGCTCGGAGGCGACGGCGGAGGCCCACGGCGACGGCAACGGCGAAGGAAACTTGTGGCTTGGAGAGGAAGAAAACCAAACCGAATCGAACTCGATTCAAAGCTTTCCAAAGCGATTCAACCGACGATTCCAAAGGAGAAAAGGTAGAGGAGATCCCGGAGATTGTTTCCCCTCAACCAATTCGACCGGAGAAGGAAAGAGACGGCCGGATTTGGAAGGGAAACGGCGGCGGCGGCGCTAGGGTTTGCGGGCGACGGCAGCCGAAGGAGGACGAAGGATCTGACAGGTGGGACCCACCTGTCAGCGTCCGAACGCGCGCGCGCGCGGGCGGCTGCGGACTGGGCCGGACTGGGCCGAAGGAAAGAGAGAGAGAAGAGGGGTTTTGGGCCGACTTTCGGCCCAAAGCCAAAAGAAGACTTTTTAAAACCTTTTCAATTTAAATTATTTCTTAAATGCAATTCCATTTATTAAAAATACTTCCTTAGCTCAAATAAATCCCAGAAAAATCTAGGAATTATAGAATTAAGCAAAGTATTTAATGAAATTTTATCTGGCCACTTTTTATATTGGAATTTATTAATTAAACTTAGATTTTCTTTTCAAGACTTTTAAAATAAATTCTAGAAATTCCATTTAAACAACAATTTATATATTTTGAATTTTCAGGGTGTGACAAACCTACCCCCCTTAAACAGAATCTCGTCCTCGAGATTCGGAAGAACTGGCAAACAGGTGCGGATGAGCTGACTTCAATTCATCTTCTCGTTCCCAAGTTGATTCTTCTTCCGAGTGATTACTCCACTGGACTTTGCAAAATCGGATAACTCGATTCCTGGTTCTTCTCTCACTTGTTTCCAAGATACGGATCGGTTTCTCCACATAGGTCAAATCCTCTTGGACTTCTATCTGCTCAATATTAGCTTCTTCGGTAGGTACCCTTAAACACTTTTTCAATTGCGACACATGGAACACATTATGTACTCCTGCCAAAGATTGAGGTAACTCCAACTGATAAGCGACCTCTCCTCTTCTACTGACAATCTTATAAGGTCCCACAAAACGCGGTGCCAATTTTCCCTTGGTATGAAAACGATGAACTCCTCGTAAAGGCGTGACACGAAGATACACATAATCTCCCTCTTCAAAACTCAAATCTCTGCGGCGATTGTCGGCATAACTCTTATGACGAGACTGAGCCACACGCAATCTTTCTTGAATGATCTTTACCTTTTCTTCCGCTTCCCTTAGGATATCCGTCCCGAAAACCTGACGTTCTCCCG